TAGGTTAAAAAAAAAATAGCAAGACACCCTTCTGTCTCCTGGTTTTGTTCTTGAAGCAGAAAGACTCCACACAGCACCTCCTCCCTTCCCCCCTGCACACCAGTCTCCTGTTAAAGACGGTGTCAGAAACCCTGGGGGGGAATTCAGCCTGTGGGCTTCAGAGATTTGGAGTGTTTTTTTTTGGCGGGGGGAGAGGGCATCTGCACACAGAACAACATTCAGTATCCATGTGGTGATTGGGAATGGGGAGGGGATGAAGCGTGGAGAAGGAGGGAAGGGGAAACCTCAACATCTTTCTCTCCCTCCCTCTTCTCCGCAGGGCTTCTCAGAGGTGGGGCTAAGATGGAGGCGACTTGGGAGCAGGGCAGTACCAGACACAGAGGCAGAGGAGGTGGGGGAGAGGACGTGCACGTGGAGATCTGGGCAGAGATGTACAGTTTGCAAGCACGTTCACATTATCACCTTGGGATGGGCCAGTGGTTCTAGAGCCATTTTATAGTCATAGAGTTGGATTTCATTGGTTAAATAAATTTCCTACGAGCACAGAGTTTTGACAGAAAAGCTAGAGCCATACCCAAATCCAAAAATTTGGTGTCAGAAGGCCCTCATGCCAAAAAACCTTTCCCTCTCTTGGTTCTTTCTCCCCACCCCTCACCCAAGGATATCTTATTGTTGATTTAAGAGAGAGAGAAATGGGGCAAGGAGAGGGGAGAGAGAGAGAGACATCAATGTAAGAGAGAAACATGGGTTAGTTGCCTCCCTGACCAGGGATTGAACCCACAACATAGGTATGTGCCTGACCAGGAACTGAACTTGCAACTATTGGTGTACTGAACGATGCTCCAACTAACTGAACCACCCAGCCAGGGCTCAAGTTCTACTTTTTAAAATTAATGTCATTGGGGACTTAATGAATTTGTTCTTCTATAGGACATCTGCATTTTAATTCCTTAGGAAGCATTATACCTGAACACGAGTTAGTTAATTGGATCCTATCTACCTGAGACCAGCTTCCTACAGAAGCTTTACAGCGGGCAGGGAAGGACAGGGCTGGAGAAGGCCAGACATGGTGGCCATTGTAGGCCACCCAAGGGCCTGGACTCACGGTGGCAATGACATAGTGATAAGGGTGTGGGAAGGGTCCTGGAGAAGGCCGCCCAGGAGGCCACTGGAGAAGAAAGCAGGAGGGCAGAAAGTCAATTTCCTCCTTTCTTACTGGGCCAGCAAAAGCCTGTCCAGGGCCTGTGTGGTTCCAGCAGTCATTTGGTACAGAAGAAAACAACGAATTCCTCAGAGTCCTTTTGGAAAGTTGAGAGTTTGGAGCCTCTGTGTTAGCGGCAGTTTAGGAACAGTTCAGGCAGAAGCAGATGTGTGCCCTGCAGACCTCTACCTTTAGGACCTGTGTTGCTTCCTAATGGGGTCACTGGTTATGGGTTCATGGAACTGAAAGGGGCTCCACTTTGGGAAAGCAACTTAGAGGCCCTGCAACAGAGACCCGGAGGGAGAGGGGCTGGCCCATGGCCCAGCAGGGAGGTGGCCTCACCCAAAGCTGTGGCAATCAGACCTGCCTGCAAACCCTAACGGGGAAGCTGGTGAGGGGAGGGGGAAAACACTTTGTCAGGCATTAGATTACCACAAGTCCTCTTCAGAAAGTTCTCTATTCTTTCAGAAATTTAGAACATGATGACTGAAGGGAGCCTAGGATATATTTCTAAGTGATTTGGTGGTGTTGCTGACATTTGAGTATTTTTGGTTTGCTTTTATACTTTGGGTGGTTAACAGCAACAAATTCTTACATAAAACTCCTCTCGAAACGCCAAAGCAGTTCCTTTCTCTAAGGAGAGTATACAAAAGGAGAGAGGAATTTGCAGGTGTAGCCCTCTAGTAATCCTTCCTTTGTGCAGCCAAACCAGGTAAGGGCTGCACAGCTCTGAGGAAGCCTCCACGTGTTCTCTGCACTGGGCGAGAGCTCCGAGCAGAATACTATGCCTGGCATTAGGCCACTTTCCTCTGAAGAGGTCAGGACCCTCTACAATGGCTGATGAGCTGCCCTCACAGCAAGGTGGGAGGACACTCACAGGTCTCCCCTCAGTCTACTTCAAGGCCAGGAGGCAGCCCCCTTGCCTCTGCAGCCCAGCTCTGGCCAGTGGCAGGGAGGCCACTCCAGACAAGGACGTGTCCTCTCACACAAGGGTCTGACTTAGCTCCTGTGCTCAGGAATTTCACTTATTGGGTTTCTTTTCTCAACAGCATTTCTCTCCATTTAGTTCACAGAATGTGGGTGGGTTTCTCTTTCTGGCTTCCAGGGAGCCCCCCTGGGCCTAGGCCTCCCCTTTCCCAGAGCACGGTCCCGCCTCCTGCACCCTCTTTCATGGGCCTCTGGGACAAGAGGATGAGCCCCTAGGGCTGCCCGTCGGCTCTGATAGTCTGCTCAGTGCCGTAGACGTTCACTGAGAACTGACTCTGAACTAGGCCTAGGGCATGTGGCAATGGAAATGTCTGCTCTCTGACCTTGTGGAGCCTGCAGACCAGTGAGGGAGATGGCCTTGGGGACGGGAAGAGATGGGGCTGCGAGGGACCTCAGGAGCTGATCTGTGGAAAGAGGGGGAATGATGCAGATACTGTGTCTCCCCAAACTAAGGTAACACCTGGGCTTGCTGGGGCTACAGACAGCTTTGGGAATTATTACACTGTCCCCAAATGAAGCATGGGAACATGCCTCTGTCCTTCCCACTCACCTGGCACCTGACAGGTGTTGTTTTGTGTCTGCTTGTTGCTTACCTGTGTCTGAGTTCTTGTCTCAGCTGGATGACAGGCTTCGTCAGGGTAGCGCCATTGAACCCCGTCTGCTGTCCCCAGCACTCACTCAGCCCAGGGCAAGGGTAGAAGCAGGTGCTCTACAGGCACTTGGCAAACACACACACGTTGTAGGGAGTCAGGCAGCTGGAGGCGGGGGTAGGGCTCAAGGACGTGACTGGTTTCTGGCACCCAGTATTAACTGCACACTGTAATAAAGAAGCATCATTTGAGCAAAAGGATTTGCAACCTGGGAGATGCAGATTCAATAGCAACCCAAACTGTGCTCCACTTCAGAGAGAATGAAGAAAGTTGAAGCTTGTAAGGGCAAAATCTACAAGTTGGAAACAAGGGAAACAAGTTCCAGGATGTAATTCTATGGCAAGCACTGAAGTCCAAAAGTGCCAACCTCCTCTGTTGGCAAAGATGCATGGGTCTGACTTTCCTGTGACCTCCAGGCTCCCTTTAGGGCCCCCTGATGCTAGAGACTCCGTTTTAGCTCACACTTCCCTTGGTCTGCCCCTCCCCATTGTGTTGCTCTTGACAACTGATTTGCTCCGAAATTTAAGTTTAAGAGCTTAATGACGTTCTGCTTGCAGTGTGCAGATGACACAGTGGTTGGCAGGGAGAGGACCATGGACTGTGTCTTCTCAGAGAAAGGAAAGAGCACGGGGCAGGGAGATTGGGTTCGGGCCTCGGACCCTCCGTGCTTATTCACTTGAGCCTCCACATCTGTAAGGAGGGGGGAATGATGTCTACCACCAGCTGTGAAGATTGAAAGTTAACCTGTGTAAAAAAAAAAGGGCTAACGTTTGAGTTTTGCTTTGTGGCCTCAGAGGGATTTGCCACCCATGATCTCATTTGGACCTCTCACAGTAGGGCAGGCATTCTTATCATTTCTATTTTACAGATGAGACACCTGAGGTTTGGAGAGGGTAAATAACCTACTATTAGGGATCACATAACTATTCCAAGGCAGAGCTGGGCCTGACTTTGGCCGCCATTTGTCGCTGTGGTACATGGACAGTAGCATAGAGTGTTTCAGAGTCCTTTCACATCCACCGACCGCCTATTCTCCCCGGGAGGAGGTATACATACAAAGTGGTGTATACATGAAACACGGAGGGCCTGGCTTTCATGAGCTCACCAATGAAACAGCCAGTGAAACAGTGAGTCTGTGGTCATCACGTGGATCCAATCGCTAACTGGCCATCAGTCACTTACAGGTGACAATAACAGGTTATGAGGATTGTATGAGAACTATTTACAAGAATGTCTACAAGGTATAATAACGACATACTATAATGCCTGACAGTGCTTGCAAGAATTGCATGTGCTTCTGCATTTGACAGAATCTGCATATGTCTTCAGAAAACTTTGTTATAAACAAACTGATTCTTTCATGTCTAATTTCAGATGCTTTCCATGGTGCATCTGGGAATAGGAAGGTTGATTACAGTGTTCACAAGGAAATGATGAATATTCTATTAATAATTATTAAAATCTCCTAGATTTAGACTAAGCTGAATATATCTAATCATAATAAAATAAGGTGAACACATGCTGTTTTCAGCCTCATTATGGGACAGGGTGTAGGGATAAGTCTTAGGCTGAGCTTGGAAAGGAACAGTGGTAGTTTTGCCAATGGGAAGGGAGGTTGCACAAGACAAGAATGGGGTGGTCCAGGGAGATGATCCAGGGAAAAGTGCTTGGCGCCTAGTAGTTGGGCAGTAAATGCAGAGAGACCATGGTGTATCCCTCCCTATTAGCTCTGCAGGCTACACCTCAGGGTGTTTCCTGCGAAATTCCAGAAGAAAACCAGTGTGGTCAGCTTGGGGGAATATGTGGTTCATATTGGAATACCGAACATACCACATTACTGGAAAGATGCACACTGGATGACCAGCACAATGAAACTCAAGTTTCCAAATGTTGGCAATGATAGGAGATTCAATTCCAGTGACGAGTTGCTTATTGAATGAATGTCAGTGCAAATAATAATACATTCTAACCATGACGGCCGCAGAAAGGACACAAGGAACAGAGTGTCCTGAAGCCTGTGAAACAGCTCACTGCAATCTGTGAACCATAGAACCTAGCATGGGAGGACTTTGATATTCCTGCTCTATGATTACCCAAGACTAAGAACCCTGGGAGGCCAGAGTCCACAGAGGCTGGGCATCAATGTATACCCCATTACCCATGTGGAGTCATGGTCAGGGTGAGGATGATGTAATTCCTAGATGGGACACTGTCTCCTGGCTGGAGGTGAGATGCACACAGTTGCATTCTGACAGGAGATCCTTGCCACTGGTCATCCCATCAAACAAGGTAAGTCTTTGGAGTCTGAGCAGGAACCAGAGACTGGTGTATGCTTTGGCAGGGGTTGGGAAGACATTAAAATGGGGGCTGAACAAACATGGCTTTGTACCTCAAGTCACTCATCAAGTGAGTGACTTTGGGTAGGTAGCTTCATTTCTTACAACCTCAGTTTCTTCATTTTCATTGTAAAATAGGGGCGGTGTATGACTTTCCTGTTAGTCTGTTAAGGGCAGTAAATTAGATAATGTATGCAGAGTGCCCACTGCTATGTCTGACATACGGGTACTTAGTACAGAGCAAAGCAGCACCCTGGCCACTATAGCCTCACAGGAGTGGCTAATCAGGGTGCCCAGGAAATGTCCTCTGATTTAAAGGTAGGTCTGGACCCTAGACTTCTGGAAACCCCTGAAACTTCCTCTTAGAGGTATGGGGGTATGTTGGGGTGGGGGGGCACAGTCTAGTTCCCTGGTTGTGTCAAAGTGCAAAGCCTCTGTTCCTACTCTTTCTGCCTTGGATTCTCTGAAAGGCAGTACTGAACTGTGGGGTGGCACTGGTCACCAGTCAGGAGAATTGAGATCTGATCTGCCACTCCCTGGCTGTGTGACCTTGGACAAATGCTGTAACCACATGAGGCCTGAATTTCTTCATTTTCAAATTTGTGGCCGGGTTATCTGCTCTGTGTTTGTCACAGGCTCAATTCCAACCGCATTAGCCTGGTATTCAAGCTCCTTCCATTGTATTCCTTGGCCTGGTCTCCTATATCATGGGCACATGGCCCTGCCAAGCCAAACCTTTCTTAGCATTTCCTTCATACCCACACAGAACCTTGTCCAAATCTCTGTGTGTCAAACGTATACACCTTTGTATCCCCTGTAGCATCCAGCACAGGGTCTTGCATAATGCAGGTGCTTATTTTATCAATTAGAATTAAGTTTGGTTACATATGACAGAAAAACGGAAAACAATAGTAGTTTAAACAGAAATTATTTCTCTCTTATGACAAAGAGGTCCAACAGAAGATAGCCCAGGGCTGGGATGGTGCCTCTGGGTGTCAGGGACACACACTCCTGTCTCGCTGCTTCACGCTTCTTAGCACATCCCCTCATGGTCCACTATGACTGAGAAGTTTCCGACATCTTATTCAGTCAAAAGAAAGTACAGGTGAAAGGGTGCAAATGTATCCTATTCCTGCAGGGAGGCTACCTGGATGCTACACATGACTCTTCTGCTCATGTCTTATTGGCTGGAATATAGTCATTAGTCACACAGTCATTCTAGCTGCAAGGAAGGCTGGAGAATACAGCTTTTAACTGATCCATTTCTAATAAGGTAAGGGAAGGGGGAGAATGAATACTGACATACTCATATAGTTGCCTCTGCCACAGTCATTAAAAGAATAGTAATTATGACAATTTACAACCAAGTTGAAAGCCCCATATAATGTATGAAATTATTATAAAACACTTACCTATTTAAAAACATATGGGTGTCCTGATCTCTAAGGTGGAAACACCCTAATTCTTTTTCACCTCTGGTGAGGATGTGATGACATGTTTTTCACAGACTTAGGTGAGGTCTGATAACTCAGACCTGTAAGTAAAGATAAATTATCAATCCTTCCCCTTACCACATTTTACCAATGAGGACACCAAACTTCAGAATTGTTCAGTGATTTGTCTGTGGTCAGATAGCTGGTTAGTGAAGAAGCCAGGACTACAACTTGAGTTTTGGGACTCCTTCAAGGCTTTCTCCTGCTCCTCGTTGATGAGTGGCTCATTCAGGCTCTGAAGGCCTTGAGCTCTGTAGGTCTCCCATTCCTGGCTGAGGACTCTGCTCAGGCAGGACGCTTGGAGGAAGGTCTGGCTCCCCGTGTGGTCAGCTGCATTCCTCCTAGCACATGGTTCAAAGAGCCTTCAGTCTGGAAAGGAAAACTTCAATGATAGAGGAGCATGTTGTTTAAATAATGAAGCCTTTTTTGCAAAAAGCAAATAACCATCCCCTTTCCTTTTGCACCTAGAATGCATAGGACCCTAAATTAAGCACCAAAAAGAGATACAGAGAAGCACAAGAAATGGTTGTTGTCCTTAAGGACTTGGATGTACATATTTACTCTTCTCATTCATTCACTCAAAAATTACTTCTTAGGCATCTACTAAAGGCAGAACTGGGCCCGGGACTGGGAATACAACAGTCAAGTGTGCAGATGTAGTTCCTGCTCTGAAATTGCTTATAGTCTAGTGGGGGCCACAGGTTAGTAAACTGGCAACTGCAAAATGGAATTAAAAGTGCAGTGATGGGGTCTGGCCAGGTGGCTCCATTGGTTGGAGCATCATTCCATACAGCAAAGGGTTTTGAGTTTGATCCCCTGTCAGGGCACATACCTAGGTTGTGGGTTTGATCCCTGGTCTGGGTGCAAATGGGAAGCAACTGATCAATGTTTCTCTTCCACATTGGTGCTTCTCTCTCTCCCTTCCTCTCTCTCTAAAAATCAATAAAACATATATTCAGGTGAGGATTGAGAAAAAAAGTACAGTGATGAGGAAGGAACAAGGCACTCTGAGTTTGTCACCTAGACCGAGGTATGGGGGGAAGTAATGCTTAGTAAATGAAATACTACTGGAGACCTGAAGACTGAGTATGTGTGGGCCAGGCGAGTGCTGTGTGTGAGGGGCATGGTGGGAAGGAAGAGTATTCCAGATAGAATGTCCAAGAGAGTGTGTGTTTGTGAGAAGCTGAGAGGGTTTTTTTTTCTGGTTGTTGTTGTTGTTGTAATGACTAGAGTGCAGCAGGCCTTGGTGATAGCGGTGGAATAGGGTGTGAGGGGACAATGAGAAATGGGGTTGGAAAGGTGGGCAGGGACTAGTAAATGAAGGACTTCAAAAGGCCTGTTGGAGAGTTTATATGTTATCTTGAAGCCAGTAGGATAACGGGCTTGAGGCAGATTTGTATTTTAGAAAGAGTCCTCTGGATGGAGGTCTAGATGCAGAGAGACCACTTGGGAGGCTATTGCAGTGATGGTGGCCCAAACCAGAAAATAACCCTGAAAGGTGAAGAGAAATTGATGGATTTGGCATATCTTTGAGAGGTATGACCAACAGGTTTTGGTGACTAACTGGAAGAAATGAGAATGATGGAGAATACCAATATTCATAAAGAAAAAAATGAAAATAACAAACATACTAACAAACAAAGCCAAAGAATAACAGCCATTCAGAAAGAAAATATAAAGAACAAATTACAGGGAATCAACAGTAGAGTGGATGATGCTGAGAATCAAATCAACAATTTGGAATACAAGGAAGCAAAAAACAAAACAAACAAAAAAACCTTGTGACTTGAGAAAGGGGTGATTGCTGGTGGGTAGAAAAATTTTGGAGGGCTTCCTGGAAGAATTAGGATTGGAGCTGGGCCTTGTATATGCATAGAATTTTGGTGAATGGAGAGGACATTCGAAGCTAAATAATGACAGAAGTAACCATCTTGAGGCAGAACAGCGTGTCGTTTGTTTCACAGATGTTTTGGACATGGTTTTCTTTGGAGAGCCACAAAAAACTTGTTCTCTGGGGAGGCACAACTAAAATTCTTGCTGAAGGTGAAGACTGGGGAGATGAACGTCATTGCTCTGGTACAGAGTTCTTTGTATTGACATAAGAAATGTCCAAACATATAGAGAATTTTTATGAGTTTATTTGAACCAAACTGATGACAGTTGCCAGGAAGCAAAATCTCATTGGATTGAGAAAAGCCTCCACAGAATGGCGGTTTGACACCTTATTTTATATATTACAGTCAAAGGAAGAAGCATAAAGGGTTACAGGAAATCCATTGGTTATAGGTTAAGGAGGTGGGAGAAAGCAAAACAGAGAAGCCTCTGGGATTGGATAAAAAGTAAAACTAATAGACACATAACTTCTTTTACACGGGTGGGTATAAAATGGCTAAGAGTTAACTATGAACAATGAGATTTGTGGTCTCTGCTCTGGTGCATTGATTGTCCCCTGAGGGGTCTTGAAAAATGAAATCACAGGGACATTCCAGAGGTATGTTATCCTAGATGAAAAAAGACAACAGACAGACAGGCTCAGTCAAGGTAAAGTTGACCTTTGTCAGGGACGACAGAGGCCTAGGACTTGAGTACCTGCCATGACTAACCTTTAGTTAGGAGTTTTGAGACCATCTTATGTGGTTACTCTAGGTCTGAGTTTGTAAGACCTGCCATGTCCACCTCCCCTGAGCTTGTCAGGTTTACTATATGGCCCCTTTTTTTGTGCACATTTTGGTACCCCAAGTCCACTTGTATCGGAACCTCAAGGGGTCTGTGGACCACTAGACAGCCCAGCATGACCCAAATCCCACAGATCCCAACTTCTACTAGAAGAAAGAGAAAAAGTTCTTTTTCCCCCAAGAGGCATGTGTTTATACTTGTGGATTTTCTGGAAGGACTGGGTCCCTAAGAGCTGCTGCCCCAGGGTGGTGCTTCATTATTCCAGGACCCTGCAAGGCCCTGCCTGGCAGCATTATGAATGGGGCCTGTGGACCCATCAAGGGGGCTGCTTGAACTCTAGTCTGTGGGAGACATGGCACATAAGTGGTTGTTTGGAGCAGCCCCTTTGGTTCTGCGGGGAGGAGGGGGATGAGACTCTTACCAGGCACTATGCCTTGCTGGAGCACCCTGCCTTATACTTCTGGGTACTGGCCCTAGCCTGCAAGCTGATGGCACTCTGGCCCCACACTCTCTGGCCCAAAACCTGCTGGTGTCTCCTACTTTAGCCAAGCCCCCAGGCTCCGACATTGGCTCTTATCTGAGGACTACTGCAATCTTCCCAAGGACCACTTTCTAGGGGCACTGGCCCCTCACAGTGACCTGTAAGGTAAGTAATTATAACCTCAAATTGACTAGCAGCACCACTTAAGGACCCATAGTGACCCAGTGCTGTACTGGGCCCTTTATTACATCATCTGTATCTCTCACATCCCTCTCACAAATCATGTCAGCTATTTTATGGAAG